CTTCCCAAAGACCATACGTGGTATAACTTTTGAACAATCACAGTCTAAAATATCTCTACATTGAACTCAGCTTCTTACTTTAACTAGCAAGATTTAAAAAAAATTACACTTGCATTTTATACCTGCAATTATTATGGTAAACTCAGCCACTACAAAATAAGTTAACCAAGTTCAATACCTTGGCTTAATAACTAGTTTTCAGGGGTATATTTGCCCAGAAAAATCTAGGACAAAATACAACTTGCAATGAACACTACCAAAACATATTTTGCAAAGTAATATTCCCACGGTCCAGTTACTTTAATTTTCTTTTAATTAAAAATGCTAAGGAAGAACTTTTCAAGTTCAAGTTTACAAATTAGACTAATGTTAGGTTTCAGAAAAAATAATGAAGGAGGCTGGGTATCTTGAAGAGTTGTGATTTGAGGGATCCAATCTGGGTCAATCACGGGGACCAGAGGTTTTGTTCTGAGCTTTCGGACTGGTGCTTGAGCCCATCCTCAGGGAGGTTCTCTCTAGTAGAATCTGAATTGAGATTTTTGTTGGTATTTGATTGTAGCATCAACATCTCAAGTTAAAGTTAAAAAATAATCTTAGAAGTCCATATTGTCCCTCCCCGCCACCTGCCAGAGATGGGTTCCTACTGGTTCGGACTGCTTCAGCTGAATAGGTAGTAACTTGTCCTGCCATGCCCCCAAACAGATTTTTTGGGGGCTGCCATCTTGTTTTTGGCTTCTGCACATGTGCAGAAGCATTTTTTAGTACTATGCATGCACGCATTGCGCACATCAAGCGTGCATGTGCAGCAAATTGGCAGTAGCAGCAGCCGGAACTGACCCTTCCATCCCCCCAAAAAACCCTTCACATCATCATGCTCTTGGTAACAACTTGAGTGGTCTACATTGATCTATCGCCCTACAATAGACCCTTAATTGATTTCTTTTCTAAATTTCAAAGATTGTCTTTTCCATTGACTTGCTGTTCAAAACTAATTGGTGATTTTCTTCTCTCTAGAACCGTGATTGCAAATCTATGGCACGCATGCCACAGGTGGCATTTAGAGTCCTCTCTGCAGGCACATGAGCCATCGCACCAGCTCTGTTCCCTGACCCGTCAAAACCGCGCTCGACTAAACCGCGCCCGATTAAAACGCGTCGCTGACGTCATCAACAGGGCGACAACACCCAGCGCGGAGAAAGAAGGGCGCTTTAAATAGCGCTTTGAAAGCAAGCNTTAGGTTTAGGTGTTAATTTTAGGTTTAGGGTTTACAGCGCGCTTCTGTCTCCACACTGTTGTCGCCCTGTTGATGACGTCAGCTACGCGGTTTAGTCGGACACGGTTTAGTCGAGCGCGGTTTTGTGGTGGAACCGGCAGCAGATATCTTCGGAGCCACCAATTCTTAGTGGTTTCTGCCTGTCCAATAAGATAATTTTTTCCCCCAGGGTCTTTCCTTGAGGGAGTGCCATGCGAAGTGATCTAGAAACCTTCTCATTCAGCGCCTCCTTGAGGATTTCCAGGTTTTGCAAGTTTTTCAAGAGAATATTAACACGCTCACTTGGACGCTCAGATTAATGCTGAATTCAAACTTAAATACATTCACAAGGAAGAAACTTTTTATTGTTACCTGGTTTGCTCTCTCAGCGATTTCTCCTTTTGGCTTTTCTGTTTTTTCAGGGCTTCTTTATACCTCTTTTTAGCCGCTTCTTTCCTTTCTTCTGCTCGCTTTGCCAGGGCCTCCAAATCAGGCTCCTTTGAAATGACAAAGAAGCAGACAGGGGTACCATGTTAGGCACTGCATTAATTTAAATAAGAAAAATAATTTGAAGAACTGCTTTTTTTAAAAAAAAGTAGTCCCTATTATTTCTTTCTCTGCAAAAGCATTCAATGACACCATCATTTACCTACATTTTCCTTTGCTTCTTTATGCCCTTCTCCTACAGCTCTTAAACTTGACAGATATAGATTTTCCAGAGCTTTAATCTTCTCATCCTGTGTTTTCTGCCATTCTGCCTCCAGTTCTCCGGCCAACTGCTTCAGGTGCTCATCTCTTCGCTGCTTAACATCTTGTCTTATCTGCAAAGCAATATTCCGCTCCTGTTCCCTGACCTGGAGGGAGGGAAAATTGATGGTCAACAATTCCATAGAAGGTTTTACCATGCAACCTAGTTGCTATATCCTGATTTCCAGTTATTTTACTTCCATTGACTAAACCAAGGTTCACCAATCTTTCGGACCTCAGAGACCACTAAATTCATAATTTTAAATCCTGCGGGCCACTAATATGATCTGCCTAACGACCAGCTGGGTGGGTGTGGCTAGGTGGTCACGTGACTGGGTGGGCATGGCCAAAAGGATGTCACTCACGTCAAGGGGCACCTCGCCAAGGTGGCGCAGTGGTTAGAGTGCNCTGTGCATGTCTTTACATAACTTTTCCTCATATTCCTACACACACACACACACACACACACGCTAAAATAAGCCCTCCCTAAAAATATTGCAACACAGCAGCAGCCATGAGGTGACCATACTCGCTGCTTCCTGCACCTCAAAAATAATAAGACCTCCCCGAAAATAAGACCAAGCCCTTATTGTCCGGGGTCAAAAGAAAATAAGACCCTGTCTTATTTTGGGGGAAGCACGGTATATAAAATATGCATATATATGAATTGTCTTTCCAGCAGCCAGTCGGGATGGATATTTTTGTATGTTTAAACTTATTTGATATTTGGGTAAAAAAAAATTTGTACACAATCTTTTTTTGTTACTGTGGATGCATGTTTTTTTTCTGTTTTTGCATTATATAGTTAAAATCATTTTTGTCCATTCAGATTAAATAGTACATATACATCAAATATACACTTTCCGAGTATGTATATGTATACATGTGCATTCTCAAAAAGTGCCATAATGTACGTATATTTAATGTTATATACCAATAAATCTGAATGGACAAAAATGATTTTAACCACTATGGCTTCATCTGCACCCAACATCCATGCTGTCAAACCCTGACAATAAACCAACTGGTATTAGTCTTATGCTTAGGCCTATCATAAATTCCTTTTTTAAGTTTTCTATTTATTTTCAATTTTAGAAATATAAACATTCCATCTTTCCATAAGCAGTATGTCATCTGGGTACAAATATTTCTGTGCAACATTCTTCGATGAGTTATATAAATACACTGAATGTTTAAAACATTGTAAAGCTCCACATTTCCTTCTTAACATATCTTCTAATCAAAAGTACAGTAATAACCTTAAACATAGTTATTCTCATAATACTAGGACTAACAATTGTCATTTTATTCTTATCTCTATCTTGATATGTGTTCTATTCTTCTTTTTACCTTCTTCTTCTATTTCCAATTTGGAAAGAGGCCTATTATAAATTCTTAGGTTAGCCATTATCACGAGACAATGCATGTCAAAGAATTTCAGCAGTTTGTAAACTATTTGGAAAGAATACTCACTTCGAAAGGGTGGGGTGGAGGAGGAGGCAGGCTTGCAACTCTGGTCGCTCTTTCTTTTTCTACCTCAAATGCATGTTTTCGGGCATTTGCTCGCCTTGTTTAGACAATAAGAAAAAAGTAGCAAGAAACAAAACAGGTTAACCAAACCTCGGCTCTCTTCCAAGACTTAGAAACTACAAATGTCAAAAATATATAGATATATATTTGTTTACGGTCTTTGTTTCTGGGCTGAGTCACACTAGAACTGGTTAGTGATCTTGTCTTGCAGCTCCTGCCTGAGGAGCAGATAACAAGTGTGGTTAGGAGGCTTTCAGACAATTGTATACTAGGCATCACTTACAGTCTTTAGGCATCTTTCAATTGGACTACCCCAATCCAGTTGTGGTGGCCGACTAACAGCCAGCAGAGCTGGCAGCAGATTCGGACAGTGAGGAGATTGGGGAGGAATATGGGCCAGCCCTGGAGTCTGGGGAAGGCTCTGACGAGTGCTCTGCGTCGGAGGCAGAGAGGGGGGCAGAGCAGTATTCCAGTTATCAGCTGCCTTTGGAGTCAGACATCAGTGAGGCAGATGAACAGCTGGAGTCTGTTCCCAGTGTGTGCATGCGTAGAGTTGCCAGAGGAAGGGAACAGCTAAAGAACAGGGGTCGACTTGGGAGTAAGGTCACAGATGGATGGTGAATGGCCCCTCCCATAGGGAATAAAAGAGGAGCGAAAGGGGAGTGGGCTTTTGCAGGAAACAATTTATTCGTTA